CGAGCGCCTCTGGGCACTGGACCCTGCTGCCTCTCATAGTTTTGTGGTCCTGGGGAGTTGGCCAAGGAGCATCTCCCGTGTACTGGGCACGTACAACCCCACCACAGCATCCTCGTGAGCCCCAGCCTCCCCGGCACACGCAGCAGTGCTGGTGAGCAGAACCCTGCCCTAAGCAAGTGGTGTAGGTGCTCCATGACCCTGTGGGGCTGCAGACCAGAGCTGGGCTGACTTTAAGTCATATTTTTTGCCCTCCTGACCCTGAAGGACCTGAATAACTCAAGATTCAGAAACAGTCTGTGCATCTGGAATATTTCTGGCTCACTCATCACGCTGGTATCTAGACACCAGCCCAAAATAGCTCCTTGCCGAGATGCATCTCAGTCGTGGCTGGTAGCAAATCTGTGGCTAAAATCCTTAAGGGGTATAAAGATGTCCCTGCTGCAACAGGGTCGTGGGGAGGAACAGCGCTGTTTGCTCCGAGCCTTGCCCTGGCAGGGGAGGACACTGTGGCTGAGAAAGCAGTGAGGATGGGGGGCAGCTCCTGGTGCAGACGCCCCCCCACCCCCTGGGCTCAGCCAGGTGCTCGGCCTGCGCTCCCTGCCATGGCCGGAGGCTCCTCCGGCATCTTCCCCACCCTGCGCCGCCTCCTGCGAGGCTGTAGCTGCGGGCGACAGAGCGAGCGGATGATGGTGATTGCTGTAATAAGATGGTCTTGACTCTTCTGAAACCAGGAGAGTGGCCCCCGCCTGGGGTTGGGTCTCCCCTCGAGGGAGGCAGCACCCTGAGGAGCACCCTGGCAGCACCCTGAGGTGCTCCTGGGCACCCCCCAGCACCACAAGTGGGGCAGAGCCGGCAGCGCATGTCCTTGCCCACCCCGGCACCCTGGATCATGTGCGTGGGCCACGGTGCTTGCCACAAGGTGCTGAATTCGGGTGCTTTTTCATGCCACGCCGTGTAGAAGGACACCAGAGCGGGTCCCTCTGGGGCTCTGCAGGGTGAGGGGCACCTCCAGCCCCACCGGTCAGGGGCTCAGCCCCCTCTGGGGTGTGTTGTTGCAGCATGCATTATCCTGCATCCCACCCTTCGTCCCTGGCTGGCAGAGAAGGGGGTTCCCCAGGGAAGTGACCCTCCGCGGGCAGGGGGACACTGGACCTCTCCTGCCGCTGCCAGGGCCGAGGGGACTGGCAGCAACGCTCATGTGGTGTCCCCCATCTGCCACTGATTTTACTATCAAAGGACCCCGAACAGGGGGGACGTGCTGCAGCCCCCTCCCCAGCTTGTGCCTTTGTCCTCAGGCTCCGTCCTCCCAGCTTGGGGCTGGGGGCTGCAGGGGCATGTGTGGCCCTGGAGCATCTCGGGGATGTCAGAGCATCTCCTGCGCCATCCAGTCCAGGCGTGCATGGACTGGACTGGGGGAGCCCTCTCGTGGCTGATGTGCCGAGCAGGAGTCCGGCTGTGCCAGCGAGTCCGGCTGTGCCAAGGAGTCCGGCTGTGCCCCTCAGTCCGACTGTGCTGAGCTTCGCCACGCCAGCTCTAGCTGAGCATCACCGAGGCTGATCCCGCAGGAGGATGCTTCATCGCTGTGGGTCCCTCTGGGCGTTGGGGACCCATCCCCGAGTCCCCGTCTGCCTGGTTTTGCTCACCCCTGCAAAGCCAGGCAGGGAGCTAACCCAGCTTGAGGGTGTCCCGGGGAGGGGACGGGAACCTGCCCGTGTGTCCCTGCAATGGGACGATGAACGGCTCTTGCATCCCAGAGATGTGCAAGGGACCGGTCCTCATGCTGGTGCACGTGGTGGGACAGGGATGGAGCTGCGTCCTCGTGCTGGGACAGGTGCAGGACTGAGCATGCGTGTCGCTGCTCAGGGAGCGGCCACGTGTCCCTGTGGTGGGGCAGGGTCCCCAGCCGGGCAAAAGCTCAGAGGGACCGAGCTCGGTGGCACTCACCATGTGCCATCATCTCTGTAGGATGGGACACCCGACTCAGTCATGAGTCCCAGCCCTTGGGGACGGGCCAGGGTGGAGTGCGGGACATGGGGAGGATGTCATTGGGACGAGGCGGAGGGGACCAGGGACTGGATCATCCTCACGGATGAAATTTGGGGAGGCTTGTGCCTCCCCAGCACCATACTTCCCACCCCTCCAGTGCCGGTGAAAAGCAGAACCCCAGTCATTTTCCAAATCTTTATTGTAAATAAATTCTGCGACATTGCAGGAGGCTTCCCAGGGGCCAGAGCCGGGGCCGAGCGAGGAGCACACGGCATCTCTGGCAACGGCGGCTCCGGCGGCTCCCCAGTGCGTGCAAAGCAGGAGCGCAAGATGAGGTCACAGGCGTTCGAGGGGGGC